GGAAAAAAAGATCTCGCAAAGTTGGAATTGATTGATTGAACTTTTTAGTCCCATCCAGTCTGCCGTTACCACCGAAGCCACGCCCACCCAATAGGCCACACCCACCCAATAGGCCATGCCCACCCGGCACCCGACATACATAAGGGGGTTTTCGGTTGCAGTTTGGGCACTCGGTCTCTAAAGGGTTCGCCACCACTGGCATAAGCACTCCTAATCTTATACATCAACCTCACCTGCATGCTGACTCCCAGCTGCGCTTTTTAAACTGAACCTTTACCGGGACCCAAACTTCCAATTATGGCAAACTCCCCAAATAGGAAAACCGAGAATTATTTTCTAAATGTCACCTTCTGCTCCCTTAGTCATTCAAGGCAAGCCATTTAAAGGATTCACTCCAGGCAAATTGGCAGAGAGAATAAATGGGAAGAGACTAGAGGGAAACACAGAACGAGAGGGATCATTTCAATGCCGTTAACTTTTTATTTCCTAGCTAGTTACCGTTTGGTCAGCCAAGAATCCAGTTGGTCTCATCGCGAGGGAAGCATTCAGTAAAACGCCATACTAAATGCACTAATTATCTTGGACAAAATATATATATATACATTGCCATTGCTGCACTCAGAGAAGTAAACTAATAGTAACAACCCCCCCGTCTTATAGTATCTTCTTCTATGAAACCCCAAGAGCTGGTTAGAGTTATTTATTCAAGGCGTCTAGTGCGTTTCTCAGTTTTAAAACTCCATGGGAAAAGACAATGACGATTGTCCAATCATTTATTTATAATACTATTATGTCTTCCAAATAACTGAGATAGCGAAACACCATCGCTGGGCCCCAAAGCAATTCTACAATCAAATAATCATTGGATGTAGGGCTCGAAGAATGAGGACCACACACGTTCCAGTTAAGGAAAAGAAAAAAAAATGAGTCAGTGGTTAGGAGAATGTGGATACATTCTCTATTTTATGACCTTTCTTGTCACAGCTGTTAAGGGAATCACTGCAGTTGTTAAGTTAGTAACACGGTTGTTAAGTGAATCCTACTTCCCCACTGATTTTGCTTGTCAGGAGGTCACAAAAAGGAGGATCCCGGGGCACTGCAACCGTCCTAAGTACCGTCCAGTTGCCAAGCATCTGAATTTTGATCACGTGACCCTGGGGATGCTGCAACGGTCGCAAGCACGAAAAGTAGTTCTAAGTCACGTTTTTCAGTGCCATTGTAACTTGGAATGGTCACTAAATGAACTGTTCTGTTAAGACAACATTCTTGTCCTGATGACAAATCTTACACAACATTGTGAAGAATGTATTTTGGATAGGCAGTCTTAGACTTTTGACCACAATGGAGACTGGGATTTTGGCTGCTAAGCGATGGGATCCTTGTGTGACTGCTCCTGATATTATGACAATTTTTATAACCACAGCTGCTATGCGAATCACCGTGGTGGTTACACGGAGTCGCAGTTGCGATTCAGCAAATCCAGCTTCCGCAAATGGACTGTGCTTGCTGGCAAAGTCACAAATCGCGATTGTGCGAATAAGCAAGAGGCTTCGACCGTTGTTAAAGCGAGACATTTGCCAAGCACCCGAATTGCGATGGCGTGACCACAGGGACAAGTCACACATGTCACTCCAAGAATAAGTTGTAAATCATTTTTCTGAGTCCATTGTAACTTCAGACCCTTGTTGAATGACTTGTTGTAAGTGGAGGACTGCCCGTATTGCTTTGATCAAACCGTTCAATAAGAAGTTTTGTTTGTGGAAAGAAAGTGGGTTCAAATGAAAATGATGAAAAGAACGACAAAGTTTGTTTTATATTCCTGATGATCTGAAGTTTTCGCGCACGAAGCAGCATAGGTAAAATCCCCTTTTCTCCCCTGGGCCACCCACTGTTCATTGTCCACCAATCAATTAGAATCAATTTGCTTTGGGCAACAGTCTGAGCACCTTGAAGCTTCCCCATCATTTGACCTTGAGGACTAGGATGTTGCCAGGTGACAGCTGGCTCTCTTGCATTCCACAATTCCCTCCCAAGCCTCCCTTGCATTCCAAACCTGCCCAGTTTCTCTTGTCTGGTTGCGAGCGGGGTGCTTAGTGAGTCGGCCACAAAAGATGCTTCCGTGGTCATGCGGCCAGCATGGATATATGCTGAAGCACATGCAACGCTGTAACTTTCCCATCGAAGTGGTACCTATTTATCTACTTGCATAAGGAACGGCTGCTGGAATTGGGTCTGTCTAGTTTAACGAGAGAAGGACGAGGGGGGACATGATAGCAGTCTTCCAATATCTCAGGGGCTGCCCCAAAGAAGAGGGAGTCAAGCTATTTTCCAAAGCACCTGAAGGCAGGACAAGAAGCAACGGATGGAAACTGATTAAGGAGAGAAGCAACCTGGAACTAAGGAGAAACTTCCTGACAGTTCGAACAATTAACCAGTGGAACAACCTGCTTCCAGAAGCGGTGAATGCTCCAACACTGGAAGTTTTTAAGGAGAGACTGGACAGCCATTTGTCCGAAATGGTATAGGGTTTCCTGCCTGAGCAGGGGGTTGGACTAGATGACCTCCAAGGTCCCTTCCAACTTTATCATCATCATCATCATCATCATCATCATCATCATCATCATCATCATCATCATCATCATCATTATTATTAAAAATACTTTAACAGGACAGCCCTAGACATATCAACTTAGAAGTGGACAGTGGGTTTTTCTCTGCTTGAGTATGAAGAAGCTTGCATGCTTGAAGGAAATGTGAAGGTGAATCCCAACATTTGTCATTGTATCTGCCTATAAAGGAGTCCCTGCAGGGTTTCCTGCCTGAGCAGGGGGTTGGACTAGATGACCTCCAAGGTCCCTTCCAACTTAATAATAATAATAATAATAATAATAATAATAATAATAATAATAATAATAATAATAATAATAATAATAATTTGCCTGCTTTTAAAATGGCTCATGCTCATTAGCCAATAAACCCTGTGCATAAATTTCAGAAAAGTCAGAAAATGTCACAAAGGTCAGAAAAGTCTGATCTTTTTTCCATTGGACAGAGTGGAGTTAAAGTGACCCTACGTATTTTTGTACCGCCGCTTTATGCGCTCTTGGGAAATCTGCAGGAAAAATTCCGAGTGCTATTATGCATTTATTTAGGTCCGCCTAATGCACATGCAGCCGATCCTTGGAGAGGAGCCAGGGGTTTAAAATAGAAACGGGGAATAAGAGGCCATGAAATTGATGAAGTGTATTAGAAAGGGGGGGGGGAGGAAATGTTCCCTTAAAATATTTGCTAGGTAACCTCTATTACTATGTCATATGATGTAATGTATTTGGACAACGGCACTGTGAGGATTATAAGCAGATGTATTAAAACCATTTCCACTTGCTGGCTTCCTGTTCTGCACCATGTAGCACTGCCAGCTTTACGAAGACAAGATGCACTAGAGCAGGGGTAGGCAACCTTGGCTCTTTTATGACTCGTGGACTTCAACTCCCAGAATTCCTGAGCCAGCATGGGGGAACTATGGCCCCCTCATGGCTTGTGGACTTCAACTCCCAGAATTCCTGAGCCAGCATGGCTCAGCTTGGAAACCTCCCCCTTTCCCCTCAGCATGGCTGGCTCTGGAATTCTGGGAATTGAAGTCCACGAGTCATAAAAGAGCCAAGGTTGCCTACCCCTGCCCAAATGCCTGAATTTTGATCACGTGACCGTGAGGAAAAAATATTTAAATATTTAAACCAGGGGTCTTCAAACTTGGCCCTTTTATGACTGGTGGACTTCAACTCCCAGAATTCCTGAGCCAGCATGGGGGAACTATGGCCCCCTCATGGCTTGTGGACTTCAACTCCCAGAATTCCTGAGCCAGCATGGCTCAGCTTGGAAACCTCTCCCTTTCCCCTCAGCATGGCTGGCTCAGGAATTCTGGGAGTTGAAGTCCACCAGTCATAAAAGAGCCAAGGTTGCCTAACCCTGCGCTAGGGAGAGAATACAGACCAATTATGAGCAACTCACTCCTATTAACGCATGCTGACCTTCCTCAGTCAGAAAACTCAAAATCAGGAAGCACTCGCGCAACGTCTGCCCAACAACTTTCACATCAATTCCCAGAAACGGAAATAGAAGGGACTTGTTTTACTTTATAGTTGGCACCTGCTAAGTCTTTACATCTTTGATATAAGCAACACAAGAATATTCATCTTAACGAGGCCTACACGAAAAAGCATCACTGTGATTATGCCAAACTTTCAAAACTAAATAAATGGTTTAAGACACTGACTAGCCCATAGGGTAATACTAAAAGTTAAATAATTTAAATCACCCCCCCCAATCTTGGCAACTTTAAGATTCGTGGACTTCAACTCCCAGAATTCCTCAGCCTGCCATGCTGGCTAGGGAATTCTGGGAGTTGAAGTCCACAAGTCTTAAAGTTGCCAAGATTGGAGACCCTGATTTAAATAAATAAAGTGCATAGTCCTAAGGACCATAAGAAAGGCTGAGCACCAAAGAATCGAGGCCTTTGAACTCTAGTGCTGGAGAAGACTCCTGCGAGTCCCCTGGACTGCAAGGCGATCTAACCGGTCAGTCCTAGAGGAGATCAACCCTGACTGCTCTTTAGAAGGCCAGATCCTGAAGCTGAAACTCAAGTACTTTGGCCACCTAATGAGAAGGAAGGACTCACTGGAGAAGAGCCTGATGCTGGGAAAGATTGAGGGCAAGAGAAGAAGGGGATGACAGAGAATGAGGTGGCTGGATGGAGTCACTGAAGCAGCCGGCGTGAACTTAAATGGACTCCAGAAGATGGTAGAGGACAGGAAGACATGGGGTTGCGATGGGTCGGACACGACTTCACAATTAACAACAACAACATAGTCCTAAGGAACTCTAATCACACCACACAAGATCCTGGCTATTATCAGTAGAACTACATCATTCGTCGGAGTGGGTCCCACTGAATTCAGAGCTGGGAGGGACTTATTCCCTTTGCAACAGGTAGTACTTACTCAATAAAGTAGACTTCCCCTTTCTCTGTGTAAGCCATTTCCCAGTTATCTGGCAAGGGCCCCAGTTCGTCGTTTTCTTCAATTTTGGGCTGCTTGGTTACATCCATCTCCTCTTTCACTTCTTCCGGCTGGCTATAAAGAGGAGCAGGATAAGGCTGAGATGGAGTTTCTCCTGAGGCACCCGTGCTCTTCTCCTCATGTTCACTTGACTCTGCATGGACAAAAACACGGACGTCATTTTTAAAGGTAAAGATAAAAGTTTCCCCTATCTCAGTGATGGCAAACCTTTTAGAGACCGAGTGCCCAAACTGCAACCCAAAACCCACTCGTTTATTGCAAAGTGCCAAGGCCGCATCAGCATTGTGGTGCTCTCAGGGGGGGCGGGGGGTTGTGGCCCACTGGGTGGGCACGGCCGCTGGGTAGGCATGGTCACTGGGTGGGCACAGCGTGGTGGTCACAGCTGCGGTGGTCACGGCAGACTGGGTGGGCGTGGCCAGGGTGGGTGGGCCGGGACCAGGGTTGCGGGGACCAGTCCCTCGCCATCTCTGGGGCATCCCCAGGGGGCCAATGCCGCTTGCTCGCTCACTTCCTGCCCTGTCGCTTCCAAACGCCATGTGCTCGCTACTCTGGCGAACTCTACTGGGGCGACGGCGTGCGTGCCCACAAAGAGGGCTCTGAGTGCCGCCTCTGGCACACGTGCCATAGGTTCGCCACCACTGCCCTATTTGGTCATATCTGACTCTAGGGGGCAGTGCTCACCTCTGTTTCTTGGCCAAGGGAGCCAGCGTTGTCCAAAGACATCTTCTGTGATCACACAACATTGTTGCCTTCCCACAGAAGTGGTACCTATTTATCTTCTCGCATTTGCATGCTTTTGAACTGCTGGGTGAGCAGGAGTTGGGGCAAGAAACGGGCTCATCCCATCATGGGCTACTTGGGTCTTGAACGTTCAGCTGACAGCCCAGCATCTTAACCACTAGGCCACCGTACCCCCACAATAATAGCTTATATTGTTCACAGGCGATTATTTTTGCAGTGAAACACAATTGGTGTGACTGGGTTTCAGGAGGGCATCTCCAAGTCATACGTATGAAGACAGAGCGGGCAAAATAAAGAAGTCAGCCTAGTTTGGCCTTTCTAGTTATAAACTTCAGCCTGGATCAGAATCAAATAAATAATCAACAACTATGTGCTATTATTATTATGATGTACACTACACTATGCAATCATTTTTTTGATCTTGATGCCTTTTGATCTTCATTATTAATGAATAATTTCATCATCATTATCATCATCATCATCATCATCATAATTATTTCTTACTATTTGCAATAGTTGTGAATATCTGTTAGATGTTACCTAGGCTTGGTAACAAAACGTTCAGAAACCGACCCACAAGCTCAGAGAATGAACCTTCACCCTCATTTCTCACTATATCACTCGCAGGATATAACCAGGAAGATTTGTTGGGCTGGACTTGAGTTTCTTGTGGCAACGCAGTGATTCCAAACTGATGACATGTTTAACGCCACCTTCCAGCTCAGTCTGTTCTTCTCCTACACTATATCTCAATCTCTATTTCAAGTGGCAAACACGCCTAAAATCATATATTCCCCTCAACAAAACCCTGTAAGGTGGGATGGGCTGAGTTGAAAGTTGATGCCAAAGTCACCCAGCCAGTTTTCATGCTTAAAAGAGTTCTAGAATTCATCATCGCCTGGTTTCTAAGCTAGGACCTTTGCCACTACACCAAATTAGATAAGATAAGATAAGATAACCTTTGTCATTTTTTTACTGTGGGCACAACGGCACACATCAAAAATTAAATTTAGTTGCCTGTTCTCAAAGTGAAACACATACATGACATATATCTAAACATACTATGAACAACATATGTATAGACCCACATCCCTACATATACATAGCAAATAAATATTAAATATTGTCCATCTTGAATATATAACGGAAGGAGGAAGCTTGAGAGTTCACAAGGTTAATGCTGTATGGAATGAAACTATGGCTGAATCTGGATGTTCTGCTTTGGATACCACGAAGCCTCCTCCCAGAAGGTAACAAGGAAAACAGGTTGTGAAGAGGATGTGTAGTGTCCCAGATAATCTTACGGACCCTGCTCAAGCAATGCTTCTATGCTATGTCCTGGATGGGAGGGAGGGAGCTGCCAATGATCTTTTCGGCCACTCTCTGCACTGCCTTCCTGTCTGAAGCAGGGATGCTACTAAACCAGACTGTGATGCTGTATGACAGGATGCTCTTGATCGTCCCCCTGTAGAAAGTGGTCAGGACAGGGGAAGGAAGATGTGCTTTTCTCATGCGACGCAGAAAATGCAGGCGCTGCTGTGCCCGCTTCACCAGTTTCTCACTGTTGAGAGACCAAGCAAGTCTACTCATTAGCTGCACACCCAGGAATTTGATCCTGGGTGTGCAGCTAACTCTCAGTTGCCAGTTTGTCTATCACATGCCTTGATAGACATTGATACAATTTGACCCAATAGATCAAAGGTAATCAGACCAATCTCTCAATAGTGACATTATATATATAAAATCAGCTACATAGTTTTCCTCCGTTGGCTGTCATTTTTCTTTTAAGTACCAAAGGTGGCTTTATTCCAATAAACCTAATAATGTTACAGGGATCACAAACTTTTTAATATGAATAAAATCCTCTCAGGATCCTGCAGTTGGTTTAATCTCTTTGTATCATTATTTTTCTACGAACCTGAGGGAGTTCCCTTGATTTTGGCTCCAACGGCAAGGATTTTGCGCTACTACTTTGGTGAGTGACTCTTTTCTACCCGAAGCGATGTACTGTGTATAGACACAAATCACATTTAGCGCGAAGCATTTTCTTCTCTAGAAAGGATTCGTTTAAAAATATTAAAAGCGCGACGACAAGATATTCTGAGCCGCAACATTTAAGACAGGCCGAATCTTTCCAGATTTGCTGAAGACGCACTTCTAAATTAAGTCTTTCCTTCCTGTAACCAATGGAAACCAGTCTGGCATGTTTTAGGTGACCTACTTTGAAACATTAAGCTGCATCACGGGAGGAGGATAAAAGCTCAAGACATGAGTTTGATGAGGAAGTTCAGAGAAGTTCAGACAACTTAGTAAGGCCACACCTGGAATACTGCATCCAGTTTTGGTCATCACATTATAAAAAAGATATTGAGACTTTGGAAAAAAAGTGCAGAGAAGAACAACTAAGATGATGAAGGGCCTGGGGACTAAAACATACAAAGAATGGTTGCAGGAATTGGGTACGTCTAGTCTAGAGAAAAGAAGGACTTGGATGGGGGGGGAACATGATAGTAGTATTCAAGTATTTGAGGGGCTGCCACAAAGAAGAGGGGATCTACTTATTTTCCAAAGCACCAGAAGGCAAGATAAGAAGCAATGGATGGAAACTAATCAAGGAGAGAAGCAACCTGGAATTAAGGAGAAACTTCCTCACAGTGAGGGCAATTAACCAGTGGAACAGCTTGCCTCCAGAAGTTGTGGGTGCTTCATCACTGGAGGTTTTCAAGAAGAGTCTGGGCAGCCATTAGAATGGTCACTTAAAGTGTCAAATTTAGCAGAAATGGCCAAGATTTCCACTTATGTGAAGGACCATTCACAAGAAAGATATATTTCGGTTTGGAGAAGATGGATAGATTATATTCAGAATAAATATGGGACTAAAAAGTTCCATTTGGTTTTTGAGTAAATTTTAGAGTATTATTATTGTTAATATTTTACAATAGTTTAATTTTTCTGTTATTTTTAATTATTACTATAATATTATTATTTGTTTATTGTTGTGTTTAATTTTAATTTACTTAAATTTATTTTAAATAGGGAGTTAAAGTGCTTCATAGATTTGGTAATTTAATAGTTGGTTAATGTTATTTAGATTATGATTATTATTTGTTAACCCTGTGAATAGCTCTGGGAAGTGGGGGGGAGGGGGGTTTGGAGGTGGGACGGGGGGGGGGAAATATTGTAACCTTTATAAAACTTTTAATTAAAAAAAAAGAAGAAGAGTCTGGACAGCCACTTGTCAGAAATGATAGGGTCTCCTGCTTGAGCAGCGAGCTAGAATAGAAGACTTCCAAAGTCCGTTCCAACTCTATTCTGATTAAAATATATTTCAGAGCTGGGATAAACGCTATCTCTTCCCTCACCCATCTCTATTGCAGGTAAGGCAAACCACTGCTGTTCTTGCAACCACTATTTTCCTTCATATTCCTTGGACATACAACTATTCTATTTTGAAAAGGCGTCACACCGTCCTGAATTTTATTCAGTCCCAGTAGCATGGAAGATGGGGTAAATGATCCCAATTTTCCTTGTCGCATTAGCTTCCGGCTTTGAATCCACCTATCGTGTTTGCAAATTTAACTTGCCCTTGGGAAATGCATAATTAAAAGAACGTTTCCATATTCTCAGGCAACAACTTAATGGATTTCCCATAATTCAGGGAAAAAAAACCCTCACAGAAACATAAATCTACTCTTGTTGTATTTAGGTTTCATGGTTCACGTTAACCATTAGCAATCTGTTCCTGTATTTTGAGATAGAGAAGTATTTATCAGTTTAGGAATTAGGTGGGTGCAGTTGGGAAAATCTGCAGAAAAACGCAGGCTGGAAGAAGAATGGAAGACATTCGCCTTTGTAGAGATAAGCTATGCTCATGTCATTTTTCATATTCTAATCTAACCTATATAGCACTATAAAACTGACTTTGGTATCTTCCTAGCTGCAGATATGGATCCAGCAAAATTGCTGTGCAGAAGAAAGCCCAAAACATTGGTTATGAATAATACAAGAGACTTTCATTGGAACTGCATATGCTGTAGTTATACAATTTCTTTAAAAATCAACCATCCAAGTCATTCATGGAAATCCTGTTTTAAAATTAAAAAGGCAGCAAATATTAACATTACTTTTGGAAGTTCCACCTTCGGTAGAGTTGATTATGGAACACTGGAGAGCCAAATCTGCAGGTTGAGCTGAACGAACAAGGCGTGCTAATGACAACAACGTCATTAATCACGAGATGAATAGAAGGTTCTGAGAGACTGGACACACTCAAAAAGTTCTTAGCAGATGTTAGCAAGAGGAATCAGAATAAAAGAGAAAATTAACAGCTTGCTCAGAGACAGATTAGAAAAACTTAATTGTTCCCACCCATTCCTCACCGATCATGTCTGCAAATTTAACATAGCCTTAAGAAATGCATAATTAAAAGAACGTTTCCATATTCTCAGGCAACTACCTAATGGGATTTCCTATAATTCAGGAAAAAAAACCACAGAAACATAAATTTACTCTTGTTTTATTCAGGGTCCATTGTTAATGATTTCTGTTACAAAAAGTCCTAGACAAAAATTCAGAATCCTGACTCGGAGGGAAGGAATCTTAAATACTCCTGGATGAGAGGGGGGAAATAAGTGTCTTCAGAGACTGTGAGATATAAGGGGGTGGTTTTTGTCTGATTATGTGTGTGCAAATGCTGAGTATAAAACATAATAATAGAATAGCAGAGTTGGAAGGGAACTTGGAGGTCTTCTAGTCCAACCCCCTGCTCAAGCAGGAGATCCTATACCAGGGGTGGGCAACCTTGGCTCTTTTATGACTCGTGGACTTCAACTCCCAGAATTCCTGAGCAGCATGGCTCAGCTTGGAAACCTCTCCCTTTTCCCTCAGCGTGGCTGGCTCAGGAATTCTGGGAGTTGAAGTCCACAAGTCATAAAAGAGCCAAGATTGCCTACTTCTGTCCTATACCATCCTAGACAAATGGCTGTCCGGTCTCTTCTTAAATGCCTCCAGTGATGGAGCCCTCAAAACTTCTGAAGGCAAGCAGTTCCACTGGTTATTTGTCCTCACTGTCAGGAAATTTCTTCTTAATTCAAATGTGGATCTCTCCTTGATAACCTCCCATTCATTACTTCTTGTCATGCCCTCAGGTGCTTTGAAGAACAAGTCAACCCTCTCTTCTCTATGGCAGGGGTCCCCAACCCCCAATCCGTGGACCGGGATGCAGGCAGTACATGAAACCTTCCGGTCCTGAGAAAAACCCCTCTCCATGGAACTGGTCCCTGGTGCTCAAAAGGTTGGGGACCTCTTCTCTATGGTGTTGGAAGACTGCTATCCTGTCACCCCTATCCTGTCACTAGTCCTTCTTTTCATGAGACTAGATCAGGGATAGCCAACCTGGGTTCTTTTATGACTCGTGGACTTCAACTCCCAGAATTCCTGAGCCAGCATGGCTCAGCTTGGAAACTTCTCCCTTTCCCCTCAGCGTGGCTGGCTCAGGAATTCTGGGAGTTGAAGTCCACGAGTCATAAAAGAACCCAGGTTCTCCACCCCTGCCCTATATCAGGGGTCGTCAAACGTGGCCCTTTTATGACTCGTGGACTTCAACTTCCAGAATTCCTGAGCCAGCATGGCTCAGCTTGGAAACCTCTCCCTTTCCCCTCAGCGTAGCTGGCTCAAGAATTCTGGGAGTTAATAATAATAATAATAATAATAATAATAATAATAATAATAATAATAATAATAATAATAATAATAATAATAATAATAATAATAATAATAGTATAGTTGGAAGGGACCTTGAAGGTCATCTAGTCCAACCCCCTGCTCAGGCAGGAAACCCTATACCATTTCGGACAAATGGCTGTCCAGTCTCTTCTTAAAAACTTCCAGTGTTGGAGCATTCACCGCTTCTGGAGGCAGGTTGTTCCACTGGTTAATTGTCCTCACTGTCAGGAAGTTTCTCCTTAGTTCTAGGTTGCTTCTCTCCTTGATCAGTTTCCATCCGTTGCTTCTTGTCCTGCCTTCAGGCGCTTTGGAGAACAGCTTGACTCCCTCTTCTTTGTGGCAGCCCGAGATATTGGAAGACTGCTATCATGTCCCCCCTCGTCCTTCTTTTCGTTAAACTAGACATACCCAATTCCAGCAGCCGTTCCTTGTATGTTTTAGCCTCCAGTCCCCTGATCGTCTTTGTTGCTCTTCTCTGCACTCTTTTTAGAGTCTCAACATCCTTTGTACATCATGGTGACCAAAGCTGGATGCAAAATTCTAAGTGTGGCCTTATCAAGGGGTTATAAAGTGGTACCAACACTTCACGTGATCTTGATTCTGTCCCTGTGTTAATGCAGCCTAGGAGTGCACAAAAACCTCGGGAGAAAAAAAGGCCTCACCTGGTGTGATTGCCATGCCGTTGCCATTGACCACTGCTTTCTCTTCCTCTTCTTCCTCTGGAGGATCAATGCCCATTTTTTCCATGTTGCTCACTGACTTGTTCCTTCTCCGTTTGCCTTCCGAACTGGGCGTGGCACCTGGGAGGATCTGATCTGTGACATTTAATAGCAGTGGGACTGGCTCTGGTGGAGGCTTGGGGGTACCGTAGTAATTATCTAGGAGGGAGCAAAAACAAAAGAGGGAGGGAAAAAAATTCAGCAAACAGGCTCAGAAAAAAACTTTTTCCTACTGACTTCATTTCATTAGTGTTGCAAATAATGAGGACCTTGGGGGTAATCCCAAAACATCTCTAAAGCAGCACTTGAACCCCCACTGGCATTGACAAATCCACCATCAGTCAATTACAAAAGACGTCTTTACTTGGAACAGCTTACATCCTGCAGCAGTATTTGTATCACCATCAAACAACCACACCTGTCTACTCCAGGGCCTTGGGAAGGACTTGATAGGTGGATAAAAATGCCAGATCCAATGCCAACATCTGGCTGACTGTGCAATGAATAACAACAACAACAACAACAACAAACCTTAAGGACAAATACATACAAAGTCAAAATTGAGAAGACAGCAACAGACAGTAAGTGCCGCCTATGCAAAGAAGCTGAAGAAACAGTGGACCACCTGGTAAGCTGCTGCAAGAAGATCGCACAGACTGACTACAAGCAGCGGCATGACAAAGTAGCAACAATGGTGCATTGGAAGATCTGCAAGAGATATCATTTGCCTGTAAGCAAGAACTGGTGGGATCATAAAATAGAGAAAGTCATAGAAAATGATAAAGTTAAACTGCTCTGGGACTTCAGAATTCAAACAGACAAGCACCTGCAACATAACACCCCGGACTTAACAACTGTCAATAAGAAAGACAAAAAAGTCTGGATAGTGGACGTGGCAGTGCCTGGAGACAGCAGAATAGACGAGAAAGAACTGGAGAAGATAACAAAATACAAAGTCCTACAAATAGAAATAGAATGACTGTGGCAAAGGCAAGCTAGGGTAGTACCAATAGTAATAGGTGCCTTGGGTGCAATCCCAAAATAACTGGAGCACCACTTGAACACCATCATCGGCATTGACAAATTCGCCATTAGTCAATTGCAAAAGGCGGCCTTACTAGGAACTGCTTCCATCCTGCGACGATATCTGTAATACCATCAAATATCCACATCTGCCTATCCCGGGTCCTTGGGAAGGACTCGATAGGTAGACAAAAATGCCAAATCCAGTCTGAACATCTGGCTGACTGTGCAATGAATAATAATAATAATAATAATAATAATAATAATAATAATAATAATAATAATAATAATAATAATAATAATAATAATAATAATAATAATAATAATAATATCACGCCAATTCAAAAAATAATAGAAACAATCTAATTAAGCAGACATTTGAAAAAAAAAACCAGTTTGCAAAAGATGCTGAAAAACTGCACGGCTGAGGTCTAGTTATATTGGATGGGAAGTCTTCAAATATTGCCAATGACCATCTGTTATGGAGGCTCTAGGGCAGAATTTCTTAACCTTGCAACTGACTGTTAGATGCACAGACTGTAAGTCCCAGAATTTCCCCAAACAGCATTCTGGCTAGGGAATTTTGGGAGTTGAAGTCCATGCATCTTAAAGTTGCCAAAGTCGAGAAATACTGATCTAACAGAGTAACAGAGTTGGAAGGGACCTTGGAGATCTTCTAGTCCAACCCCCTGCTCAAGCAGGAAACCCTGTACCACTTCAGACAAATGGTTGTCCAATTTCTTCTTAAAGGCCTCCAGTGGTGGAGCATCCACAACTTCTGGAGGCAGGTTGTTCCACTGATTAATTGTTCTCACTGTCAGGAAGTTTCTCCTTAGTTCTAGTTTGGTTCTCTCCTTAATTAGTTTCCATCTGTTGTTTCAGGTGCTTTGGAGAATAGCTTGACTCCCTCTTCTTTGGGGCAACCCCTGAGATATTGGAAGGCTGCTATCATGTCCCCGCTGGTCCTTCTCTTCATTAAACTAGACATACCCAATTCCTACAACCGTTCTTCCTATGTTTTAGTCTCCAGTCCCTGATCATCTTTGATGCTCTTCTCTGAAATCTAGTGAATCCTGACCATAACAGGGCTGAACCTGGGTGATTTCATAGCAGCCTGATCCATCCATGACAGAGCCAGGTCCCCCCTTGAAGAAATAATCTGGAACAATTCTGACATAAGCAGTGTGCACTATTGGCAAAACTAAAATATCTGCATTAAAACTTCAACCGTGTGGATTACGACTGCAAGCAGATTTATATTTAAGTGCTTCAGACGCATCTCCTTGTCTTTGCTCTTGGAGAACTTAATGAGGATAGAGTAAGCACGGAGTTCTTCTGCTACTGCTTTTGCCAACTGCTTCGCCATCTTTGCCCGAATTTTGAAAATTAATTTTAGCTGAAATGTAATTTATCGAGATGGAGACAGTTCAAATTAATGCAACCAGACTGTGGGTCATAAAATGCAGAGGCTTTGGGGCTTTCCAAGTCCCACTGATTAAATTATTAGCTTTTTCATCCTCCTTCCCTTCCAGAGCAATTAGCTATACGTATGTAATGTCTCACCCAAAAAAAAAAAAATGAGCTAATGATCTAATTAAATAATAATAAAAATAATACCTGGAGACAGCAGAAGAGGAGAGGGGGAAAAAAGGGAAGGAAGTCGCAAAATTAAAAGGCCTGCAAATAGACGAAGAATGACTTTGGAAAAGAAAGCAAAGTTAGGACCAAAAGTGATAGACGCCTTGGGTGCAATCCCAAAACATCTGGATCGGTAGCTGAACACCCTCATCACTGACAAACCACCATCAGTCAGTTGGAAATACAGCTTTACTTGGAACAGCTTACATCTCCCTTCCTTCCTTCCTTCCTTCCTTCCTTCCTTCCTTCCTTCCTTCCTTCCTTCCTTCCTCTCCCTCTCTTCCTTCCTTCCTCCCTCCCTCCCTCTTTCCCTCTCCTTTCTTCCCCCATCCCTTCCTTCCTTCCTTCTTTCCTTCCTTCCTTCCTTCCTTCCTTCCTTCCTTCCTTCCTTCCTTCCTTCCTTCCTTCCTTCCTTCTTTCCTTCTTTCCTATCAGAGACCAGCTAGCTAGGGCTATTCTAAATAATAAATTCTCAGATCGCAGGACTATAGTTATAATCCGAAGCTATATCCTTCCACACACTGGTGTTCTGTCCTTTTGGCATCTGTCAAGTCCATTACTTCAATAGGGCCATCTGGCCTTCAACCATTGTGGTGCTCAAGTGTGGTAGACATTCTGCTGTGGTTTCATTCATTCTTCTGGTAATTACTTGGCTAACGCAGGGAGTGTGTTGTCTGTCTCTCATTGACAGAATCTGGAGTTCCCATTTCTTTATAGGAAGCCCAACCGAGCATAATGATTTTGGACACAGCTTGTAGGTTATTGTGTGAAGGAGGCCATCGTTGCGCAGCATGTGGTCTTTTCTTTTGGCAAGGATATTCACCGGCAGTGAAGAGAAGACTGGAGCTGGACGCTGCCTCGTCTCTCTTCTCATTTTCTGCCGGAAACATTTAAAATATGTCTCTAATTACCTGAAAGAAGGTGACAAGTGTAAAGATACCAGGATGGCATTTAGTAAGACCTTTAGTAAGGCCTTAATTAAGATCACCCGTGGAATACTACATCCGGCTCTGTCACCACAATATAAAAAAGATGTTGAGACTCCGAAAGAACGCAAAGAAGAGCAAAAAGAATGACTAGGAGACTGGAGGCTAAAACATATGAAGAACGGTTACCGGAATTGGGTATGTCTAGTTTAATGAAAAGAAGAACTAGAGGAGACATGAGAGCAGTCTTCCAATATCTCAGGGGCTGCCCCAAAGAAGAGGTAGTCAAGCTATTCTCCAAAGCGCCTGAAGGCAGGACAAGAAGCAACGGATGAAACTAATCAAGGAGAGAAGCAACCTAGAACTAAGGAGAAACTTCCTGACAGTGAGAACAATTAACCAGAGGAACAACTTGCCTCCAGAAGTGGTGAATGCTCCAACGCTGGAAGTTTTAAAGAAGAGACTTGACAGCCATTTGTCTGAAATGGTATAGGGGAGGGGTAGGCAACCTTGCCTCTTTTATGACTCGTGGACTTCAACTCCCAGAATTCCTGAGCCAGCGACGCTGAGGGGAAAGGGAGAGGTTTCCAAGCTGAGCCACAAGTCATACTTTTTGGGCACTTGGTCTCTAAAAGGTTCGCCATCACTGGAAAAGAATTGAACGCAATAGAATAGAATAGAATAGAATAGAATAGAATAGAATAGAATAGAATAGAATAGAATAGAATAGAATAGAATATGAAATAGAATAGAATATGAAAGAATAGAATATGTAATAGAATAGAATAGAATAATAGAATTGGAAGGGACCTTGGAGGTCTTGTAGTCCAACCCCCTGCTCAGGCAGGAAACCCTATACCATTTCAGACAAATGGTTGTCCAATCTCTTCTTAAAAACTTCCAGTGTTGGAGCATTCACAACTTCTGGAGGGAAGCAGTTCCACTTTTTAATTGTTCTCACTGTCAGGAAATTCCGCCTTAGTTCTAGATTACTTCTCTCTTTGATGAGTTTCCATCCATTGTTTCTTGTTCTGTCTTCAGGTGCTTTGGAGAACTTGACCCCATCCTCTTCTTTGTGGCAGCCCCTGAGATATTGGAACACTGCTATCATGCGTCAATGAAGACTCAATCATGCAGACCAAAAGTATCTTAATTTATGTTTAATTTGTGTTAAATGATTTAACCTTTTGAGATATTTTTGGCCTGGATGATTGAGTTTACATACATCACTGTTAGTGTTTAGCATGTTGTGTGACCTCTAGCACTAGTGCTGATGATGTTACCTAGTTGGGTAATGAAAGGTTTGGAGCTTTTCAAGAAGAGATTGGACCTCAATTTGTCTCAAATAGTACAGGGTCTCGACTAGAAGACCTCCAAGCTCCCTTCCACAACTCTGTTGTTCTGTTATTCTCTCCATCTCAAGATCCTGATGAAGGCCATCCAACTGAACAAATTTCATGAACCACCATACCCAGGGCTGAAAAGGTTGAGATCATCTTCAGTTGATGTCTCAAAATCTCCTCCATAACCTTCTCCGCTATAAAAACTGGAATTATTGAACAGCTGATGAAC